CACCTCTGGGCAGGTGGGCCTGTGTTGCGTAAGAAAGCAGGCTGAGCAGGGGCCAGAGGAGCAAGCCAGTAAGCAGCGTTCCTCCATGGCCTGTGCTCCAGCTCCTGCTTCCAGGTTCCTGCCCTGAGTTCCTACCTTGGGCTCTCTGATAAACTGCGACCTGGGAGATAGAAGCTGAATAAATCCTTTCCTCCCCAAGTTGGTATTGGTCAGAGAATTTTGTCACAGCAATGAAGAGAATAAATCAGAACAAGGAGCCTTGTCCTAAGTGGACTAACAAAGCCCAGGTCTTCTGACACTCATCTCCTGATCTGCCTCAACACCATGGTTTACATTATCCACCAAGCCTGACACTGCAGAGATGCCCAACTCATGTTTACTGAATAAAAGACTTACTGAGTAACTAAACACTGAGGTGGTCAGTTCAGGTATACTTCCAAATGAAATAGCCACAAACCTAAAAGGATCTTCAAATAGCTAAAAGAGTCTGTTGTACAAGATCTGTTCCTGCTAGGCATGGTCAACTCACTTTTATCAACGTTAGAGAATCAAAAAACTCAAAGAGGCAGAGTGTGAAGCTATGCCTGCAATCTCCTCGCTAAGAAAGCTGAGGTGGGGAGATCCCAAGTCCAGGATGGTTTAGGTGATATAGTGAGATCCTGTCTCAAAAAGAAAAGGAAAACATCTCAAAGGGGCCCACTGTATGAATGAGAGCCTTCTCTGCCTGTCCTGAGCCACCCAGCTAGTGTCTTGACAGGTTTAGGATTTGGTTGTCTGCTTGGCCATCCTCCATTTCATCCAGTACCCTCAGCCTTTCAAACCAGATTGGAACATAGAAGTTAACTATTTCAATATGTGTTCGGTTTATGTGCCTAGGTAGAGTCCCTATTTTCTCCCTCAGATGGGATGGTTTTGCTGGTTTATTTCTCAATGACTGAGAGTGAGTCATCACCACTGCCTCCGATAAGAATTCAGAAAGTGACAACTCAGTGCACACCATTTTCTCAATGTTCCTCACGAGACCAAAGCAAAACCCATACAACCTCTTCCTGTTACCCCACGGTTTTCCAGTGTAGGTGCTATTGACGTATGGGGCTGGATAATGGCCTCCTGAACAGAGTGGGACTGTTTATTGTTTATGCTGAGTGGCTTCCCTGGTGAGTAACTACTAGGTGCCAATACAATTCTCCTCAACTCAGACAGCCAGATTTCCAAACATTTCTAAACGTCCTGCGGGGAAGGGGCTTAAGCAACCCTTGTTGAGAACCATTGGTACCCTGGCACATGTGACCCTCCTTACATAGGTCGTGACTTAACAGGGATTCACATATATTTAGATTCCCCACCCCCTGTAGGAACACAGATATACCCCTGCTTCCACATCGCTATTGTTTCCTACCATGAAACAATGTGTTCTACTCAACTGGTTATGGACTGGTAGTTTCTTGCTGCTCTACCAAGGTAGAATCACTATATGTACAACTCTTTCCCCAATTTCTATCATGAAGGATGGAGACTCTTTCTCATTAGAAACCTACTTCACTCTAAGGTTCACAGTTCATGTTCTGTGTCCAGACTGCCTGGGCCAAACCCTGAATCTTCCCCACACAAGGTAAAGACTTTGGACAAGTCATTGAATCAGTCAAAGGTAGATAATAAGTTTGTATCCGACTCAAGGAACTCAATAAGGTAAAACGGAACAGTAACCCAGCGTAGAAGTGGGAAAATGAACAGCAGACCCCAATCTTATCTAAAGGAATATTGACAACTGATTGCTGCTAGATGAGGAACAGCTGATCTTCCTAAAACAAGGCTCTCTAGATAGGCTGACTAGATTCAGCAGATGGACAAGCACTGGGGAATGGCTGTGGGCGCCGACAACACAGTGAACAGTAACAGGGATGACAGAGTATATGGGCTCCAGTTAGGGGGGAGGCTATGGGAGGGTGCCATTTGGGAAGTGGGTATATAGATGAATAAGATTGTGTGGGATGTTCTGTATGAGATACCAAAAAATCAACAAATTGCCAGGCGTGGTGGCACACGCCTTTAATCCCAGCACTCAGGAGGCAGGGACAGGCGGATCTCTGTGAGTTCGAGGCCAGCTTGATCTACAGAGCGAGTTCCAGGCCAGCTAGGGCTACAGGGAGACCCTGTCTCAAAAAGTCCCAAAAAAAAATCAACAAATTAAAAAGAAACGACATATTTGAGGAGGAAGCATAAAAATTTACTTCATGTTAATTAGTAGAGGTGATAAACATTACCACTGAAATCTACCTGATGACTTTACATCCATACTCAGGTGCCAAGGACCTGAGTGTAACTGACTGGGACTAGTAATAATCAGATACATAGAGATTAAAGACACATGTGTAAACATCTAAGTGTTAGTAGCATTAACAATGTAGGAAACAGCATATTTTAAAATGAAATGGAGATCTTTAAAGGTTAAAAAACTCAGTCAATATTGTGTCTTTCAGGATTTATACTGAGTTTAATATTGTATAACTATATTAGTTCAACTGTGAACCTAAAATTTTACAGCCACTTTTGAAAGAGATGTATCCTTGCTCTGGAAATTGTCACTGAATATGTTAAAGCTGTAAGAAAAAAAAATCTTTGTGGAGAGATCCACGGTGTTGTTGTTCTTTCAGGATGAGCCGAGGAAAGCCTGTCATCTGAAAAGATTTCATATTATAGAGAAATGGAGCTTGCAACCCAGCATGGAGGATGTGTCGAGCTAAAGACGGATGACAAGCACCACGTTAAAAGATTTCCTGCCTTCCTGTTATTTGCCTAGAAGCAAAAGATAAATTTCCTTTTGGAAAGATGTCTCGAACTAAGACGGGCAGAACAAACTGATGAAAACAGCTCTTACGGTCTCTAAGTTTTCCCCATAAACGGACTTTCCCACTGTAGGTGATCTGGGAAAGTCTTAACATCTCTGTCTTCTCATTTCTCTGCAACCTCATGTGTTTTTTTGTCAAACATGGTAGGTAAGTCCTCAAGTCTAACCATTATTGACAGTTTGTACACACCAGTAGACAGCCACATAAAGTGACTGGTATCATGTAAAATCAGTCTCCTGTTAATTTGTCCTTTTTGAGCCCCACCATAGATTCTACAAGGGAAATATAAGAAATTACCACAAAAACACTAAAACTTAGAGATGTAGTTTGTGACTGCTGGTTCCAACCATGCCAAATTTATCATTAGCCATAGATTTAGAACATCACGGTCTATCAGATTCTCATACACCTGACCGAAGACTCTTTTCCTACCGTGAAGCAATAAGATGTGTTTTACTCAACTGGCTATGGACTGACAGTTTCATGCTGCCCTACCAAGGTAGAATCACTATATCACTATACACAACTCTTCCCCAATTTCTATCACATGAGGGATGGAGATTCTTTCTCATTGGAAACCTACTTCATGGATTTCTCCCCTATTGACTGTCCCCATGCCTAGCAAATAAACTGAGAGGATGCTCAGAGCTCGCTTAATCGACACTGTCCTGACCATTGTTGAAAAGCAAAACTTACCCATGTTATCACCAGTTCGAACAAGTAGTGCATCATGTGAATTCTCACAGGGTGGGTGATGGCAGGATAAACGTGGACAGTGAGGACCTCCTTCATAAAGACCCACACGCTGACCCCCAGGAACAGGAAGCTCCCAAAAGGGAGAAGGATTGCCAGTAAGATCATGGTACTCTTGTGCCTTCAGAGCAAACCAAAGAAAGATTGTCACCTGGGACCATCTCACGGAACTCTCCTCTGAGACCTAGACATTTTATAATGTGCAGGATGACTCCAGGGCCTGGCCCACTCCCACTCCAGGAAGTTCTGGCACATTGGAAACATCCACTTGTGATGCTCAAAAGATTACACAAGAGCCCCACCTGCAGAGGCTCCTAGCCAGCAGCATTAGAGCGCTGGATCTTTGTCCCCAGGGCAGGGCTGGACTCTGTTCTACCACCTGGAGAGTCGCCAGCCTGATTAGAAGATGGACACCAGTGTGGGGCAGGGTGTCAAGTCATGCCTGGCTCACTGAGAGATTTGGGAAACTCGAAAAGTCGTGTCAAGTGCCCTGTGGCTTTTCTCTCAGAAATAAAGTCAGAGATTTGAGAGGTGGTCTATGTGCCAAGTAAGATTTGGTGAGGAAGAACACAGAGGAGTGTAGGGGACAGGTACCTATATACTTTTCTTTCCTCTTGTTAACCTGATTCTCTGGGCATCAAAGTTTAACTTTATAATTACTCCTTAACTTAGCCTCACCTGATTTTCTGTGTCTTACACATTGGCATCTAGGGCTTAGCTGATGTCAACGAGGATTAGCTAATTTTGAGCAACAGGTAAAAATATTCACCTATGAGTTTATTTTTCACACACAAACCAAGCAGTGTAGGATAAGCAGCACCTCCTACACTGGGTTCTTAATGCCAAGCCACCATCTACTTCCCATGAACACCTCAGAGCCAGGTACTAGACATGAGGGACCTCATTTGTGCCCCAGCACTTATCTAAGTTACTCTCACCAGCTCATCACAAGCCTCTAACCCTAATCCCGCCCTTCCTTTAGTGTGGAAACAAAATCAAGGCCCATGTCCATGGTTCTCTCCTTTCTTCTGCCAAAGTTCACGGCTACTCAGGCATGGTCTAGCTTCTCCTGTTGGCCACTGAGGGTAACAGACTTGCCTTTCCAGAGAAGTCATCTCCCGATCTGGTGGTCTCATCAAGTTTCAAATTGTCTATTAATACCCTACATTTTAAAACACTCAGAGATTAATGGGAGCACCTATGCACAGCACGAGCTTAGCAGGCCTGAGGCCCTGGGCTTCACGCCTTGTAACAAACAATAACCAATCAGAGTTGCCTGGTTTTCAACTCTGTGACTTGAGAGATTCTTACCCGCTTTTGTAAGTACCAGGAGGCACTATGCAAGCCGCTGGGGGAGAATTGCCGTGGACAGTCATGCTGCAATATGGATCCCGTGCACTACACTGCCAACATGACAGGAAGATGTGCCCGATGCTCAAGCAGTTTGAGTTTCTGCAGTAGCAATCACTTATTGTTAAAAAAAAAGTTTTCAGCCTGGAAAGATGGCTCGATGGTTAAAAGCACTGTCTACTGTTGCAGAGGACCCAGGTTCGATTCCCAGCACCCGCACGGTGCCTACCAGTCGTCTGTAACTTCGGTTCCAGGGAATCTGACACTTTTCTGACCTCCACGGGCAGAGTCGCACAGTAGTACCTCCTGGTGGTACAACAGTAGCCAGTGGTAGAAAAATAGTAGTAGAAATAGTAGGAAGCACTGGGTGCAGCCAATGCTTTCCGGTTGGATTTAAGACCTAGTCCACGTGGGTAAATCCATGATTGGTGCTATAAAGGAAAAAAAATGCCTGTGGCTGGGGAGGTTGTAAGCCCCTGTGGGGAAGCCATTGCTATTGTTTTATTAAAGGGGTGTGATGTGTCTCTTAAATTTCACTTCTAAAAATTTATGTTTATGTCCATAGGATATCACTGCAGTCAGCTTCAGACATGGAAGACAACTTGTTCAAAATACTTCATTTATTATTCTTATTTTGTGTGTAATGAATGTATTGTTTGTCTGTATGTAAGTGCACCTGTGTCGTGCAATGCCTGCAGAGGTCAGAGGAGAGTATCAGATTCCCTGGAACTGGAATGACAGACAACTGTTGTGCTGGGAATTGAACCTGGGTCCTCTGCAGGAGCAGCCAGTGCTCTTAACCATTTAGCCATCTCTCCAATCCAAAAACTTTTTTTTAAAGGGGCTTTTTGCTACGCTAACATTCCCCCCTCTGAAGAGGTAACCCTAAAATATTTTAAGGATTAGATAAGAGCTCCCAAATACTTTTGACATTTTTGGCCTTTGGGACAGAGTATGTTACTAAGAGGTCCAAGGACATTTGATTTTTAGCCAAGAAACTAGCTACTTTTCTTTGGGGTCTTTTTACCCTAACTGCCTAGCCAATTCCTACCTCCTATTCTTATCACACCATCCCCTGAAGAGAATACCCAAATTGCAAATAGGGAATTGGGACACAGACTGCTCTGACTTCTTCCACGCTGAATGGGGATGCAGGGTGAGGCAACTGGCATACCCCTTCAGTGGGTCTATCTAAAAGACTCCCAAATTGCATAACTCTTAACTGTAGGGAGAAAAGAAAATCCTTCACTGATGCCTAGGAGATGTGAAGGAGAAGTAAAGGCAAGAGTAGTTAGCATTACAAGTTCTAGACAGGGAACCAGAAAAAAGCCAGAACAGGGCAAATTTCAAATGCTCATATCAGAGTCCATTGGAATTTCTTGACGAGAGCTTCCAAAAGCATCCCTCTATTGGGTTCCTCTTCATTTTTCTTTTGTCTACCAAGGCTGGACTCTAGAGTAATAGACTCATGATTTGTTTTTAGGCACTTTGATAGCTGTTGGAGTGGTTAGAATCAGTGTCAGTTCCCTCTCAAAGGCTTCTGGATACGGGGAGAAAACAAATTTATCCACCATTTTAGAACAATAGTGGGTTGTCTCCCTTAGGCTACAGGTGGGCACTACAGTATTGCAGACCTAGATTCGAAGTCTTATATCTGAGCAGCACTTTGTGATTGGAAACAAAATCTTCAGTGAGAAATAGTTGTCTAAATAACATTTTATATGGATTTAAGCCTAATGTCTGGGAAGTGTAATCCCTTGAACTCTTAAAGAAATATACTGATCACTTTAATCTTTGGTTATGCATTCCTTTTGGGGCCTAAGACCAAACAGGTTGGCCAAATAAACCAATAAAATTTTACTTTTCCTTTCTTTTACCAGTTTCATCTATGTGAAGATCAAAGATCCTGCTCAGCTGTGGCTAGTTTCACTTGGAAGCATGGAGGAAATGTGTTCTCTGTGTTGACCCTCCTTTTTGTAGACTGGGAACTGGTTCAAGTCTATCTCGTGGGGTCTCCATGGCCTCCCTGAACAAGAGGACAGGCGGCTCACCACAGTTACAGGACATTTTGAGAGATGTTCCATAGTTCCCTGGAACTTAGTCAACCTTAGAGAGCAAGGAGCAAAAACTGTCCTTTAACTCCCTCTGACCAGATTAGTATAGGCCTCAAAGTATGATTGTTAAACATCCAAGAAGGTTAGTTCCACCAGTCCGGTACTTTTAATTACCATGTGCCATGTAGATAAAGTTTGGGCAAAAACCAAATGTCTCAGATAAACCTTGCTTGGACATGTATTATATTCCTTAAACTAGTTGACTAAACTATGACCTTAGAAATTTTAAGATTATGTGTATATTATTTTTGTCTCATCCTTTATATATCATAACAAACCTATGCAGACCTTCATCACTTGCTTAGGCTTTCTCATTTTTTTCCATTTTGGAAAATACCTCCATTCCCATATCCTTTTAGTCCTAAAACTTTATAACGATATGTGACTGTTACTACTGAGACTCACACAGTTCTTGGGCATAATTAACTATTGCTATGGAGTAGTAAGTAGATCGATGCTTAGCCATAAATGGGATAAAATAAACAGACATCAATATCATTCTCTCCAGGGCTCAAGGAACATCATAGACAGAAAGTAAGAGCCAGAGGAATTATTGTGTGGCCATTTTCTCTGGATTGAAACATACCCTCATGGACAAAAAGGAGAGAAGCTCATGCAACATGGCAGGCTCAGGAATCTCGGAAAGTTACCAGATTCACAAGGTCCTTCTCCAAAGTCATATAAGTAGTAACGATTAGTAGAGGAACAGACGTTCCATCCTACCAAGCTGCCTGGTATGCAGCTTTCATGAGTCATCGCCCATGCTGGGGTAGGCTTTCCAGCAATGCACCTGCCTTTCAGTCATCCATGCTCCTATAACATTGATAAGCTGGCTTAGTAACCTAGACTTAGGGGGGAATCATTTCTTTGGTCTGTCTTTGTGCCTTAGCTGGTATGACTAGATACTTGCTTATTTATCCCCAAAAGAAGTCATACAATGTGTTATTATAATAGGAGGGGGATACAGAGAGACATGGGGCAGAAAGACTGTGAGGGTAGAGGCAGAGACAAGTAACCAGTCTAGGACAAAGCAACTGTGTCCAGTGAGAACCCAGATGAAGACAGGAGCACAGCTCTACCCTAGAACCTGCAGAGACAACCTGGCCTCACTGACATCTTCGTTTCAGACTTCTGGACCAAGACCCATGAAAATAAATATTTCTGCTGCTCCAGCCATCCAGGGTATGATGGTTTGTCACACTTCCCTAAGAAACGAATCCGGGGATTATTTGTTGAGAGAGTACGTTAATCACGAATGAAATGCGGGGTATACAAGCCACCACAGAAGAAAGGAGCTGGAAGTCAAAAGAAGGATCTTTTGGGAAGACGGCCTTAGATGGAGAGTCCAGAAAAGTCACTTTTCCAGGGTCAAGAGGCAGCAGAAGCCCGAAGGCTGGTGAGATGTCTGCAGAAAGAGGTGCTCAAGAAGGAAAATGGTGGGTTTGAGGAGCATAAGGACTGATGTGGCTACAATGGTCAGCTTCACAGAGTCTAGAATCACCTGGGACACAGGTGTCTGGGAGATTGTTATCTTGGTTGCATTGATAGAAGTGGGAGACCCACCCACTATGGGTGGCACCATTCCCTGGGTGGGATCCTGGACTGTGCGAATGAAGAAAGGGCAATGTACCTAGCAGCAGTATG